GTCATCCCTACTACGAAATGAGCCAGCCGAAACTGGTTCAAGCTGTACAGCTATTGTTAGGGTGGTGACCTTACCAACCCTGGAAATACCGAATGGTACTGATTTCGGGACAGACAATACATCGTATACGTTTCTTTGGTACCTGCACAACAATAGTGCAGGAATTGAACATAATTTGGAAATGTTGCTGAAGGCAGATTCTTGAAATTACAAATAATAATGTTAAACTGAACAATTGATACAAATAACCCAAGAAACAAATGTGCAAATGAACAAATATACCTACAACTAAGCAAAGATTAATATACAAATAAACAAATATACCTACATATCTACAAAAAAAGCAAATATACAAATAAACATATATACCTACAAATAGAGAAATATACAATTATGATTAAAATATAAAAAATATGTTTCAAACGTGTAAACAGATTTTCTATAAAAATTTACCAAATATCTCTCAAAATTTAAGTCTTAAACATATGAAAACAAACCCTTGTTTGATTATTTTTGAGTACTTTTTACTTTGTCATGCTTTTTTGCAGCAAGAATGTCGACATTTTCTTTCTCCTTCCGTTTCAAACATGTTTATTTTCAATACATAACAATGAGAAATTATTGGAAATTTTCTACATTACATGTCAGTTTTTTTTTCTGCATGTACTTTTAGGATCTGATTGTATCGAGAGTGAATATCTTGGATATTTTGTGAGGTAAGATTTACCCTAAGAGTTTCACATCTTGTTCATCATTTTCTTCTACAAATTATATAAGCAGGGCCGTAGCAAGGGGTATGCCAAGGCGGCTGGAAAAATGTTATCCTACCTTGAAAAATTTTAGTCCTGCCTTAGCTGCTAAGTTTCGTTCGTTAAATCTATTTACAGTAGGGATTACATAGAGTATTACTTATTGTTAATTTTTGACATGAAGAAATTAATACAAACTCAAAACCTTGAGTTGATTTATTAATTAGTACTTCATTGTACTTGCAAAAAGATTAAAAAAAATTGAATTATTGCTTCTTCTGCTGATTACATTTTTTTGAAAGTAACTGAGCGTATTGTGGTTTTGTTCAGATGCGAGAATAAGGATCAAATTTAACATTAGTTGTTGGTGGTTGAGAACAGTTAATCTTGTAAATTATCGCATTTAATGAAATCCTAACCACCAATTACTTTATATTTATATACA